TATTTTAACTCGGAAGGACAAAGCTTCTTAAAATGCACCTATGATTGAAATTCTTCTTCTCCAGATGCAACGGAAGGCAAAGTTCTGCTAAACGCACATGTTATAAAACAATAGTTTTGTTGCTCTTGCAACAGATCAGACCTTGCTGTTAGTCAAATTCCATTGTCTATCCTGGCATTACTCTCACACCTCTGTAACCTCTGCTCTCTTCCCATGTCCCCCACGACTTGTTCACTGTTATATCATCAACTATCCAATTATTCTCTTCCGTTAGCTGAAATATCCCATGATTTTTCTCAAGAGCTTCTTCTGTTTTTCATCTACAAACTTTCATAAGGCTTTGGAACTTTGACCCATCTAAACATCTTCAAAGTTTTTTTTAATTTAGTTGAAGTTATTACAGGACAATGAACATCTGTTCTAAATCTCAGTGCTAAGAAGTTTTAGTGAAAAGCTAACATTCCTATTGTCAAATCCTAGCCAGAGACAAGTTTTCCAATCTCTTAGTTACCTTTTTCTTACGATTCCCACTTTCACGCTGCACTGCTTTCATTACATGAACCAGGCGATCTACGAACGTCTGCTGGGCTGCCAACAAGGAACGCATAACTCTGACAGACTTATCACCCTAGGTGAATTAAGAGAGAAAATTAGTTCTTCCTTCTGTAATTATTTTATCTAGAAATTACTCTTTTATTCTTGGACTTTTTGGCTTTTAAGAGGTAAGTGAATAATGATAATTTTTCTGTAATTTCAAAAAGGTGTTTTCTGTAAAACACGATCAGAATCACTGTCTGACCTAACCGCGCACTTCAATTTGCATCAACAGCTTCAGCCGTGCATGACAAACCTATTCACACAGACAAAACACGTTAGTAAGGATAAGCACACGGACTATTCTTACAAAGTGCAAGAGTCAGATTTGAATAACATTCTTAAAATAGGAATTAATGTGACACGTGAGACACACTAAAATCAGGAAAGACTGCGCATTTGCTCCAAATTATAGATTGCAATTCACAGAAGTTTTTTTGCTGGTTTTGCTTTTTTTGCCCTGCTCCTTCAGCACCCTCTGCTGCTGATACACAGAACACCGTCTGTGAATTGAGAAGATAGGTCTCTTGTCTCAATTTGCACTGCAAGGACAAGTGCTTCCAATAAAGAAACAGTAAACAAAGTAGACTGATTACACAAGGCATAGGATTTTATAACCTGCGTGTTACTAACAGGAGCAAGCAATAAAATAGAGGAAAAAGGTCTCAAAAATTTTCTTTTGTGTTTCAGCAGTTTCTTTGGTTTGCCACAAACTCATAATTCAAGCAAACGTGGAACCTTTTTTAAGATTTCGCTATATATGGCATGAAAAACTCAACACCTGTGCTTATTTCAAGGATGACTATACCAAACCACTACGTATTTCCTTACACAGAGGCATTACCTTCAGCAAAGCCTGGCTAAATCTTCTCATCACATTTAAGTACATTTCGTGAGTCTTTGGGTCCCTCTGCTGAGTGTCTTGGTCTTCACACTCTACTATTACATACCTGCAGGATAAAAACAACCCAAGTTATGCTGCACTCTGGTGTTACACAATTTGCGTGAAACAAACCAGCCCTGTATCATAGACCTGGAACTAAAAATAAAGTCAATCTCTGAATGAGGTATCAACCAAACTCTTCAAAATTGCACAGTCAAATTCCCACCTGGATCAGGAAAGTCCATCAAAGTTTCTGAGGCCTTTCACTTACAGTGAAGCAGTGTTACTCGAACAGGACAAGTCAGAAGTCCAAACCATATGAACACTCCAACCAATTGCCAAGCGTGGGAGGAGTGGGCGTTCCACTGTGCTACTACCCTCCACATGACACAGCGGCTGCAAAATTGCTATTGAGAAATACTTGCAAAAACAAGAAGAATCCCACCCTACCTGTTCCCCATTTTACCATTACCAGTGGTGGAAGAGACAGTACTGGTCCGAACCAGCTCTTCCAAGTCGACATTCTAAAATAAGTTTTAATTTCTAAAATTATGATTCGAGTACAAGATTTAAACAGTACAATTTGGAACAGTTATACTGAAAATTTATTTTGTTATGTTAAGCAGTTCTTTCGAAAGCTTTTGTGCTTATTTCTATTCACAGAACTGACAAGCAAAAAGTAGCTAAGCACAGAAGGTCTTCCTTCTGTTGACCAATATATCTTCTAGTATCATCCGGTAAAAACATATAACTCCACTACTAAAAAAAGGAAGAAATTAAGAAGTCAGTCAATTTTCAAACTGTATTTGAATTCAAAAGTGACTCCACGTATCCAACACACACACTCAGGCTTTACATTGACAGCTAGAATTACACCTTCCTAGGCACTTCTGCAGAATCTCTTTGCACCTGAATGACTATGGGACAAGGTCAGAGGTCTGTCATTTGCAGCTGATCAGATCTGACGAGTCTTACACATAAATACACAATATATTATATAGACTAAAATAAGGCATATGTAACTTATTCCACGAGTTCCATATTCTCAATGAAATCCGTAATTAGACATTACTTCCAGAACTTTGCCAATGTATTGTTCTACACCACTCCCCCACTAAAATAAGAAAATTAGATTGCAGTACTATGTATATAAAAATAAGCCCATATTAATAAACTCTGTGCACCAAAACTTCAAGAAAAACAGGAAATAATGAACTGAAACATGCCATTTTCATTTTCATTTGTTAAAAAGCCTTAGACAGTTTCTCAAAGCTATCTTGAAACAAGGAGTAAGAGTGATGCTTCATACTTGGCTAAGTGTCTCATACGTCTGCAGAAGAGACAGAAAAACAGCAGCACCACTGACTTCCGTAGCTGCTGTTGAAGTATAAGGATAGGATAGCTTTACAACAAGTGACTAAGCAGGGAGGTTTGATTTTCAAGGGTTATTGTACTTTTTCCATTGATTATTTCAGGTGCACGCTGTGTCTGGATAGTTGAAATGAGCAATTGATCAGCAGCCAGGAGGATTTATGGCTATGTCAGCTCAAACAGTGGCTGCAACATTTGTATTTTGTCACTGAGAAATTGAGATGTCTGGAAAGAAAACAAAGAATAAATTGACTGAGTTTTTTGTTTGAGGTTTTTCTTTTTTTTTAAATTGTAAGACAAAAACTTTAGAGCTTCAGATGCTTTGAACTTCCTGTAGACTGAATGTCTGAGATGTTGCCAAAACATAAGTACATAAGTATTTCTATCAATATGATAAAAATAAGCTAACCTACTAGCACTTATCTTAAATGAAGAATATTTGATTAGGTCAAGCATTTGTCTTCTACCCACATCAATTAGGCTCGCACTTATTTTAATAATTTAAATTTGATAGCATTTTTTTCTGATGGCAAACAGCGTATTTGGCCACTGCAACAGAAGTATGTACACTAAGGAACTGCAGCTAAGTCATGCTCTTATTTTAAATTTTAGTATTTCAAACTTACAGAAAAAGCAATGAAATAAGAAAACTTGAAAACATTTACAGATGGAGTCGCTCTCAGGGTAGGTTAAGATTCTCGTAAAAATTTTATTAGAACAGTTTGGTAGGTTTACATCACACTGTGTTTATCTGTGTGTTAAAGCAAATTAACAAATGACAATCTGTATTAGTATTTTTAGTTATCAGAATCATCTACAAAGGATACAAACGAGAATCATTTGACTTAAGTGTAGCCACGTAAAAGGCACCTAAGCTCTCTATTTTAAAATAGGTCTGTATATACAAGCAAATAGTTGTACGTGTTGTGTAATTAATTAATAAATACACATACACTTGCAGAGCAGAGTTCTATTCATCTCAGCTTTCGTCAAATGAGATACTCCTATCTGCAAATGACTACTCGGAAGGCATGCAGTAGTTTAGGCATTCCATTAATTCTTAAACCACTGAAGTGAGAAAAGATCTTCAGCAGAGCAAACTTAGCTCTCCATCACCTAGGTGAACTATTCACAACTGAAGCTCCCTGTGAAGAAAGCACATATCTGCAATGACATTTTGTTTGTGCTCATAACATAACCACAAATGGAATCTAAAGAATAATTAAGTTAGCACAAAAAAGTTACTGCTTAATGAACCTTCATAAAGTACACTCTGGATTAATATGCAAGCACATAACCTTAAATTCTAGCCAACACTGTCAAAAACTATAAACACAAACCAAAGACAAAAGCAGAAAAGATGAACTTCGTCTCCTTCCGACCACCATAAACAAACTGAATGACAACTTGTAAATGACAGTGATGCTTTTTTTTTTTCTTTTTTAACACTGTACTTAATGCCTTACAAATCACCTTCCTTTGTCTAACAGTAAAGCACATTTCTGCATTTTCAAAAACAGTACCCTCCTTCTACTAATTATTCTGCTCAAATGCATACTGGTTTAAGTCTACTACTTCATCCGGACAGAAACTGAGACTCTCAAGTTCTCAAGACAGGTCATCTTTTGCCGTGCATCCTTCTGGGCATTATAGCTTTGATTTCAATTAGACATCGATACAGTAGGAATAAATAGTTTGTAACATACCAGTATAAGTAGTTTGCCAACGTGGAATTTTTGCATGCCCGTGAAATCAAGAAAGTGCAAAGATCTTGCTGGAAGGGATTTAAGAAAAGTAAAGTTAAGTTATAAAGAAGTCTAAGCTCTTGAGAGAGAGATGAAGTTAAAGAAAAAGCCCAAATAATTGCAGGGAGTTTTGAGAGATACATTTCCTTCTAAAAGTGAAATCCAATCCAACTTAGTATTTAAATCATATTACTTTTAATATTACTCCAAACAAATCCAGCAGCAACACTACAAATAAAAACAACTCTGCTACTATAGGAATTTATTTACCAACGTGTCAGAAGTACATGATGTTCTCCAACTATAAATCTTTGAAGCAAAGTATCTGTTTATGACATATTGCACTCTCCTATGCAATTATCCCTGCCATAAGATCCAACCTCAAAAGGGATTTGCTGCCCTCTTTTCATCTGGAAGATCTGAAACTCATTATGTACTATGTTTTAACATAAAGAACAAATCTGTGAAGGATACACAGTATTTAGTCGCTTTTTCAAGGTTTAATATTCCAACTAACAAGAAATCTGTGTATCTTTACCGATATCCTCAATTAGGCTTGTGAGAACCTCATGAAGTTCAATAACGCCAAGTGCAAGGTCCTGCATGTAGGTCGGGGCAATCCCAAGCACAAGTACAGGCTGGGTGGAAAACGGATTGAGCAGCCCTGAGCAAAAGGACTTGGGAGTGCTGGTGAATGAGAAGCTCAACATGAGCTGGCAATGTGCGCTGGCAGCCCAGAAAGCCAACTGTGTCCTGGGCTGTATCAAAAGCAGTGTGGGCAGCAGGTCGAGGGAAGTGATTCTGCCCCTCTACTCAGCTCCCGTGAGACCCCACCTAGAATACTGTGTTCAGCTCTGGAGTCCTCAACACAAGAAGGACATGGAGCTGCTGGAGCGGGTCCAGAGGAGGGCCACGAAGATGATCTGAGGGCTGGAGCACCTCTGCTATGGAGACAGACTGAGAGAGTTGGGGCTGTTCAGCCTGCAGAAGAGAAGGCTCCGGCGTGATCTTATAGCAGCTTTCCAGTACCTAAAGGGGGCTACAGGAAAGCTGAAGAGGGGCTTTTGACAAGGGCGTGTAGT